GGCTCATCTGGGTAAGTACCACGACCTTACAGAAAACCGGCGTAAAGTGGAAGTATAATACTTTCGCGTTTCGTCTGGTGAGTGAGGTGGCAAATTTTCAAAAGGTTGTCAACGCATCTGGAACCCTCGGGTGTGGCAAATGTCCATGGGCGGCGGTATTCACTTAACATCAGGTGAACCGTCTGCTCGCTTCACAACTTTTCACATAAAAAAAATACCAACCACTCTAGGGTGTAGGAAATGTCACGACGCAATTGGTGTCAAACCGACAACTTTTTAATAAATCACAGCAAACTGAACTAATAACTTATTGATAAATTATTAATTAGATTAAATATGTACAATAATTATAACAATCTCTGTGTATAGACTCATCTTACATTATGAACTATTTTTTCCTTAATTCCATTATTCCTTTCTTTAATTATCCTATGCGTTTAACTAACAATAAATTAAAACCACGCTTTTTTGCTAGATGGTAACTACACATTCATCGATGGCAGGGTTGCGCGTATCTGAAATATTTTTTTGGAGTTTTGTATATGCAATCCTCACAACAAAGTCAAAGGATTACTCGCTTTTAAATGCAATCTAACCTCGGAATATTGCCAAAGTCAAGCTTTTCAGGCTATACATTCTCTCGGATTGAAGATATCTACAGGACAATCTGTTTTTATGCAAGATTGTTTTTTATTTACGATACAATTTATTTTTATCATATCTTTACATAATTAAGAACGATTCCTTGTATCGGTTGCATTTTTTAATTACTGTATTATAATTTTTATTACATTTTCACTGTATAAAGTTTATTTGTTTTGTTTTATAACGACGCGCAATTTGTCATTGTAAAACGCAAAAGAGTAATACGCTAAGCGTAATACTATTTTGTAAAAACAACATAGTATAATGTCATATTGTATCAAGGGGTGTTTAGAAAAAGAAAACTGTAACATGATGGCTAGGCTTTAACCGTATGATTAAAGCTACGTAAATTGTTATTAGAAAAACGCCTACACAAGCTAATGACCTCCGGATCACGTCTATGGTGTCTACGTAAGCGACAATATCCTTACTAATATTATAAACGTGAAAGTTTGTATGTACGGATGGATGTTTGTTACTCTTTCACGCAAATACTACTGAATGGATTTTAATGAAACTTTACAATGATATAGCTTATAAATCAGAATAAAACATAGGCTATAAAATTTATACATATTTTATGTATATATGTCTTTCTGTCTGAATGTTACGCCTTCAGCCTATTTTACGCAGACGTAGTCTCGGGCAGCAGCTAGTATTGATATAAATCCAAACGAGAAAGTTAACATAAAATCCTGTAAATACAAAATCTTGTAATGAACCTTTCATTTAAAAAGTTTGTTTAAAGATTTATATTAGACCAATCATATTATATACAAATACGAGGTACGTATGACACTAGCGGCATATAAAAAATGAGGCACTCCAGTTAAGACAATTAGTGTAATTAGATTGTAATTTTTTAAACTACTATATCTTTACGTATCGTACGTTCCGTATCAATTTCACATTCACTTATATATTATTATCATCATATAATGTAAAACGTAACAATTTCTAAACACCGCGCAGTACGGACGTGCGTCATCTTTCAAACAGCACAAAACTGTATAATTATAACAATTGATAAAATTAAATGAAACTACTTTACGGATTTTATCGCGTCTTTCCAGCGTTCATGGTCACGGGACAGAAAACGTCGGGAATTTAAATTAAAATAAAAAACGCGATAAACTCCGTAAAGTAGTTTCATTTAATATGTATAATATTCGCGTAAAATCAAGAAAACAATTGATAAAATTGATAAAACATTGGTTTTTAGAACGTTAAAGACGACCACGCAGGTTTTATATAGAGCAATGGATTCCGCGATTTTTTCGACCTAAATTTAATAAGATAATCGCCCTAAATGTTTGTCTCGTGTTCGGGGCAAACCCATTTTTTTATTTTCTTTTTTCTACGATTATCATTAATTGATAAAAAAGGAACATGTAACAATCTAAATAGACTATAAATAAAATCCCTACTTCGTTCTACATTCAAAAATATGTATTATACATGAAATTTTCGTTAATTTTGAACCAGAGATAGCAATAAATCCAACATCAATTAACTGTGCAGAGTTTATGGAGGAAGATAAAATGTCTCATGCGTTGGGAACCTCATAATCCAAGATTTCTAAAGCATAATGCTTTAGACTAATTGATTGCAATCATAGCGTATCAAATAGTAGATATTTCATTACAAATGTCAGGGTAATTTAATATGTACTGTGTTAGAGTAACAAGTTACCCACACAAGACAGACGTGGAATAAAGTTTTACGTCCATGGAAGGTTGTCCACACTTTCCATTTTCTCTGATACTCGGGTAGAGCAATGACCAAATACAGATTTGACCAAGTCACCCACAAATACTGATGTAGAATATGCTTTTATGTTTTATTTGTTTAACTGGAGGCGTCCACGGAAGGTGGACCACCTACCGTGGACGCCTCCAGTGACTTTCCATTGTCTATGATACTCCGGTAGAGACTGAGACGTCCAAAATCCCGACGTCTGACTTGACGTCGGGATTTTGGATCTGTTGATTATTATATTAAAAAAACTGTCCCCAAAGTATTGAAAAAATCCCGTGTCATTACGGGAATCTTCACGAATCACGGACGCAGGATATAAAATTGCGTTCGATGAAGCTTTAATAGTCTCGGGGGACTGAAAGCGTTGTCGAGGTGGCTACTAAATTCAATGCTTTACCCGTACAGTTGAAATGAATACTAAAATTGACTTGCTACTGAAAAAAAAAAAAAACACCCTGACCGGGCCGCAGAAGATGGAATTTAAAGGTCGGAAAACGCACTTATCAAACAAAAAGCAAAAGTATAAATGCTATAATTAGATCTTCTTTTTAGTGGTACTCTTCTGGTTTGCTGACCCTTTTAATAGTAGCAAGAACCTGCGGTATACCTTAATTTGTAAATACCTCGGAAAATTGAATTTTATTCCATGTAAACTTAGTTATTTTCTCACAAAGACATCCTGTTTTTAGTACTAATGTAAATTAAATTCACTAATGATACGCTCTGCTCTTGCATTAGCCTGTGCATTTTAGGACCCATATGTAAAAGCAATTAATTTTCAGTCTCTGTTCTAAAACGAAATGCTTTCAGATTCATTGTCAAGCAACGTGTCATCGTTAACATAAAGGTAACTAACTTTTGTATTATTGGCTGTTATTTTTGGATAGTAAAATTTAGGGACTTCAAATTTAAGTAACCACCGCCTTTGTTGCCACGAAAACGATAACTGTTCATCGGTTGTCAAGTTTGAGACCTAAGTTCGATGGGAAATCATACACTTTAGGTTTAAAATTTTGGCCTGGCTTATCTCAAACACTCAATTCATCTCATTGCATTGTCTTTGAAATATTTAATCAAATATTAGGTTGCTGCCTCCAGCGTAGTAAAACGTACAATGAAATAAGTTAAATCATAAAAATCATTTAATAATTATAACTTGTTATAAAGGAACTTAAAACTCTATATACATTGTTGATCATAATCACTTAATGATAATAACACTCAAGCTTACAATACGGACTTAAAATAAAATAAAGCCTAAATTTATCAGGTTTCCGGCACTTTTTCTACAATGGCAAGACTAACAATTTCAATGAGGCTTTTATTTTATGCAAAGAATAGATAGCTGCAAAATATGTTTCACGTTGATTATACGGCAAAGCCCTAGTATAGCCATAATGTTACGACGGGTTCCAACGTATAAAGTATCAATAGTTTATCCTAATTTTGGGAGTTTTGTGAGGTTTATTACTTCAATCCAGTGTGCCCGAAAAGAAAGAGGAGTTTAGTATTTTAAATGTAGTCGGTTTTTTGTTTTAACTAATAGTTTATACTTATAAGAATAGTTTATAATTATATTGGTACTTCGTTCGACTAAAGCGTGTCATTTTAGGAATAATCTATACAGATAAATTAAATTGGATTGTCTGTTTGTAATATTATAATAACCGTTTTTTACCGAATATATATGGATGTATACACGGTACACGTACCAAAATAACATTCTTTACAATTTTTGTCAGTCTGTCTGTCTGTTTGTTCCAGCTAATCTCTGAAATGGCTGGAACGATTTTGACGGGACTTTCAGGCAGACAGCTGATTTACTAAGGAGAAAATTGGTCTACTTTTATATGAGGCATTTTATTTATAAAGACGCGGAAGAAGACGCACAGGCAGTTAAATTCTACTTATTCATAAACAAAGTCAAACACATCGCTTTTAGTTGTTTATTTGTCAATAGGTTAACTTTAAGTATTGACCATTGAGTATTTTTTCCGTAAATCCTAAGTACCTTATTTTTTTTAAACTCGTAACTTAAGCGAAAATTTAAATAATTGTTTTATAAAATTATATCGATCAAAATTATTTTATCCCTATTGTTCTAAACTATTTGGAGCTGTTTATTTTTAATATTTTGGCATCTGTTAATGATTTAATGAAAACTATTAATCATCAAACACTAAACATTCTTCTACATAAACTAGAAGAAAAAAAACTTTAGAAGCTAGAAGTAGAAAATGTTTAAATTGCAAGTCACGTAAGTATAGGCACGTTAAGTAAATTCTATGTTACAGGCTAAGCTATTAAAGATAAATCGAATAATAATATCAATACTTATTATTCTACTACACAAGGGAATACTCACATTAGCTAAATAAACATGTTCGTTAAATTGTCACGGCGCTTTGTAAACAATAATATTATGAAAGTCCAAGGCAGTGAGCAAGCAGAATTGTAGCTTGTCCATTAGGAACGGGGTGTAATACAATCAAAGAGATAAATTCGTTCATAACTTGAAGCAAGACATTCTCCCAGTCTTCGTCGAATGTTCTACCAATTTCTGCAGCACTTTGCTGTAATTTCAAAGATTTCCCTCATTGTTTACATGTTGTATATCCCGGGCCGATGCACGCGGCGAAAGCTATGGCGTGCGGTATGAAGTTTTGCTCGTAGTTCCCCGTGAAGAGATGGGACCAGGGCCCCTTACAGCGTCCTTTTATATCTATCAACAATCTAAGGTCATGTCTGCAATATTGCCTGAATAGAATGAAAGATTGGAAAAATTGAACGTGACTCATTCTTACTCATGTTATCCAATAACAGGTTATGCCTCTGGAACTCTTCGTGGGGCTTGTAGCCTGGTCCGTTTGCGTAGCTTAGTGTCGTGTATGGCAGATTATCAGACGCATTCATCTGAAGTAAAGTATTTCAGAGAAAAAGCACACAGCTAAATATTTAGCAATAAAAAGACTTCGCTACATGATGTCAGCATTTAGTTTTATCTAAATTTAAAAATCAATAATTCATTTAGGTCAAAGAAGGTTGATTTACTTTTCCTCTAGGTGTATTTTATTGGGGAAAATAAATCGACTAACTTCAAATGCTGCAGTAGACATAACCATATCAAGTACCGCTTTTTTTGCTGTGATAACGCATAAACGCATAACAGCTTTTGCTGTTGGGCAGACTTGTTCGGGTAAGTAACACGTCTCCACAGAAGACCGGCGCTAATTGACAGTATTAAACTATCGCGTTTCGGCCGGTGAGTGAGGTAACCGGGCCCAAGTTTTTTTAAAGGTTGTCCACATCCAAGAGGTTGCCCTTTGGATGTAGATGTCCATGGGCGGTGGCGCTTAACATCAGGTGAACCGCCTGCTCGCTTGACAACTTTTAAGATAAAAAAAATCTTGTACTATTTCTTAGTATTATGCGCCAGTGGCTAAGTACTGTAAGGTATAGGTACCATTTATTATATAGGTATCCTGTTAAGGTTCAAATATGTTGAAATTAGAATTATTAGTTACTTTATTAGTGAATCCCAGAATGTCTGTGCCCCTTTTGCTGTAACCGCTGTACGTCATAGTGTGGCTGTGGTCTGACGTCACAATGATGAGCGTCTCTTCGGGGTCCACCATCTTTAAGGCCGCCTCCACTGCCTTGGCAAGTTCCGCCGTTTCATCCAACGCCTTGCGTGCTTTCGTCTCGTGATGAGCGGTATCGATTCGTCCACCTATAATCGTTCGATAAAAACAATAAGCTTAAAGGATATTTTTAAGATCAAGTACTTTATCATCGTCAGCTGCTTTATGTTTTTTTTCTATTCCAAAGCGTTTAATTATTGCGAGATAAAATGTTTGAAATAAATGTGTTAAGTATTTATATGTTAATCCCGCAATCGACTTTTGCTGTCAATTTAATCGTGATCTTTAGGCCATTGTGGCATAAAAATCTATCAAACACACACACGCAAACAATATACGAAAACATACAAATCTATACTTATATTTATTCATGTATTTTTATATATATATTTCTTTAAATTTTATATGATCCTAAAATACAAAAAAATGTATGTAATTTTAATTTACGGATTAGTTAGAAGTGACATCCTACTAAAAAGATTGCAGCAAAAAAAAAGATGTCGCATTCCATTGTAAGCTCGTTGTATTGAAAAGTTCTTGGGAATCCTATACATTGATCTCTTGTTTGTTATTTTAAGCAAGTTCTATTTGATGCATAAGCTATTGTTAAAACGCAAATTACCTTCGACAAATAGGAAGAAACCGTTCTTATTGGTCGACAGCATCTGTATGGCCTTCTGGGTCATTTCACTCAAAGCCGGCACGTCGTCACCAGCCTCTAGATGGTACGGCATATGATCATAGGCGAATAGACCAAGCAAACTGTCGTATTCTTTCAAGTTGACCGATTGAAGTTGCGATTTCTTCTGCACGTATATCGGGGAAGCCCCGATGGACTTCTTGTTTTGATACCATTCTTTTATCAGGTCTAGGTCGTCGCTCCGATGTCCAGGGTAGCCGTCATCATCCTTCATTTTGTGAGATAGAAAATTTTTTCGACCGCCTCCCATCACAACCTGTAACAGATTACGAAATCAGGACAAGCGTTTTTTTCATCCAGTGAGTGTTCTAATATGCCTGTGTCGTAATTCCAGATGTCTGTGCCGTTATTCCAGCTTAGGTATGAGGACGGTTCTTAGATAGGTTTAGTCAATTAATGATCATTTTCTTCTTTTCCGTGGCACATGTATAGTATATTATTTTATTTACACTGACATTTATCCGTCTTCCAACTCGGCCTCGAACCAACTGCTGAGCTATGTCCTCACAGGCTGAACCTTCCGGCGTGTCGCTGTCAGCTTCCCATGTTCTGTCTGCTGAATGCGCGTAAGACGCAGCTGGGGTGGCGTGGGTAACTCTCGTCGTGGTCACCACACCTGAGAAAAAAAAATTGTCTTTTCAAAAGAAAACCGAAAATTGAGCAGACGTTACGTAGTAATTATGCTTGAAATAATCTTATGTGGTTACAATGTGGTTATGTGATTTTATTTAATAGAATATATATTTTTTTATTTTAAAACATACTGATGAATAACTTTCTTAAATTTCATTTACAAGGAATTATGTTACCTTGATTATTTATTATTTAAATAGTAACAGCCTAAAGTGAATATGCATAAAATAAATCCGCAATAATGTAAGAATAAATAAATTAAACAATATTCGATGAATTTTAATTGGGATATATTATAACAGCTTTATAATAATTGAATATAAAAACCATAGAAGTAAAAAGTTAAGTCGAACCTTTAACATAACCGATATCATATTACCTACTCCTTGATCAAGAAAATAATTAAATGAACATAAACATTTCGATCAATTCTATTAACGTCACATGATAAACATGATCAACATAAATGTAAATTTTGTAACCATTTTATGATTAGAGTCATTAATATTCAGATTGACCGTAAAGCTGGAGCTCATACTAATGATAAGTAAAATCGAGATCAGAGCCTCCTCTATACACAGGGTATTGGGTATATAGGTCCACTACGCAGCTCCACTGCGGATTGGCGATATTACATATTTTCGAAAAGAAAAATGTTTTATTATTTCGCAAAAATGCAGAGTTCCTCACGATGCTTTCCAATAATTTCAGTGGTGCTAGCACCGTGATTTGAAATTAGATTGCTCGAGTACATTGAATTAAAAGAGATCGCTCGGACATTGACACGTTCGCCGAAATAAATCTTTTGTGTTTACACTTTTTTCACATAACCTCAAAATTTGTGTGAAAAATTGAAATAACCAAGTTTTTAGTTTTTTATGTTTATCTTTTACAAAATGTTTTTTTTTCCACGAAATTTACGGTGAAAACTTTCTTTTGTATGTCCCAAACACACTGTAATTTATTTGATTTGAAATTTTTAGTTTTTCACCTTATTTTGACTCAATATCGAAAAAGCACCCAAATTTTTAAACAAAATTCTCGCGTGAAAATATTAGCTTTTTAAAAAGTCGGTGGCCTTTTTGTTCCCCGCCCTGGTCTATTTACCGTGATAAGCCAGCAGTCAAATGATAAGTACCAGTTGCTTTTCCAGCCTTCTGTGCCCAATCTATCAGACCGGTCACGGAATGTATGCCCTCTTTCTGCCCGTTGCAATCGCCACGCTGCACGGCGCCGCTGAGGCCGACAGTACCGCTGTTGGCTTTGACCCCTGTTAAATACGCGGTACCACTGCAAGCGGAATCTGCCACGTTATTGTCCACGCAGTAAGTCTGAAAAAAAAAAAAAAAAAAAAAAAAAAGAAACAGTGTTCTATATTGGATGCATCCCTGACCATACTTTCAGCTTGACTGTTTGATAAACTTTTACGCTCTGTTTATATCCTACTTAATGTTTACGTTATTGTTTTAGTGCACACTATTTTTATTTTGTATTCAATTATTTATTCGTGAATACCTATTGGCTTTCCTTTACTGTATTTTCTTTCTTTGTACTATATTACCTGATACACTAAGTATACATGGATACAATTTTTTTGAAATGTAGTATAAATAGGGCTCCGTAAAGTCGTAACTTGATTAGTTTAGGTTAGTATTAAAAGGAATCAATATTATTTACCCACTTTCGCTAAACCTGTATAAGGGAAAGCCTCGAAGCTTAGCTTCAGTTCTTCACCCATGAATCCATACTTCTGGCCGAGGTAGACCCTTGTTGCCGCGAGGGTTGTAATGCTCATGCCATCCCCCAGGAACAAAATGACGTTCTTGGCGACCTTTTTGTTCAGAGAACTGGATACCTGGCAACAAGAAAAAAACTGATCTAACAAGTCCATTTTTTTTGTAACGCAAAACAAAACCAACTTCAAATATCTCGCTCTGTATTAATTTTAATATTGATTTTCAGGAGTTCCCCAAGTATCTCCGGAGCCCAAGATCCAATACCAATGAAATTAATATGGGACCACATGGTAACACCAGCTTTCAAATAAAAAAAGAATCATCAATACCCGTCCACTCAGTTGAAAGTGCTGAGGTAAGAAACTTAAAAAAAAAATACAGTAGTATTGGGAACCTCCACCTTTTTTAAAGTCGATTGAAGACATCCCTTAACATTGGTCGATCAATAAATATTTATTGATATCAACTAATAATAAATAATAATAAAATATCTTTATTCACATAGACGCTTGCGCGTTCTTATGAAACGTCAAAATTAACAAGTCGTAAGTTACCACCGGTTCGGAAAGCAGTTTCTGTTGAGAAGAAACCGGCAAGAAACTCAACAGTTGCTCAACTTATTAAGTTAAAGGCAATAGTGACTCGGTGGCGCCGTTGCTAAACTATCGGCTTCTGCGTCCGTGGTCGATGCTCGATTCCCACACGGGACATATATTTGTGTGATCCACATATGATTGTTCTTGATCTGGTTGTTTGTCCAACATGACCAAAACCGAATTTTAAAGATTTTTATAGTGCTACCTCTGCACTTAACATTAAAACATAACAAATGTAGAAAAAGTACGAAAAGATTGTCGCCGCTGTGGGAATCGAACCCTTTTCTACGTATTTTAATGATCAAAACCGATTACAACATGATTCACACGTTGTGCCGACCCCACCTAGGTGGGATAAGGGCAGGAGGATGATGGCGAATAACCAAACTATTGATGTCTTAGACATATTTTACTAATTCGTTATACGAACACCCTTTTTGCGCCTGGGAGCCGAAATAAATTTTGTATTGGATACGTTATTTGGGTTCGGATACAGACACTACAGTTTTCTTTAATGTTTTTTATGCGTATATGCAATATATATCAAGACCATCTTGATAGATATAATAGTCAAAGAGATATATCTAAGAGGTTTGAATGTAATGAGTGAATATGGCTCTAATTAAAATATGTTATAAAGTGATGACATAATTAAAATCTGTAATATGATTGTATAATAAAAGCTCCAAGAGACTTCACAGTTTGAATCGTAATGCATCATATTTATTTAGTATCAAAATAACAAAAAAAAAAAACGAAATTTAATTAAAAACTATGCTACGCCTTTCCATAAAAAAAACCGGCCAAGTGCGAGTCGGACCGTCTACGAAGGGTTCCGTACCATTATCTATAAAAACGGCAAAAAAAATAATGTCTGTTGTATGGGAGCCCCACTTTAATATTTTTTTTTCTGCGTTTTAGCATTTATTGCTAAAGCGGCAACATTGCCATGATAGCTCAGTGTCCGGGCGCTCGCCTTTAATTCAATATACTCGAGCAACCCGAGTTCGATCCCCGGTGCCGGCACCAATGAAGTTTTTAACTTTAAGTGCTGACTTATCACGTGCTCCGCGGTGAAGGAAAACATCGTGAGGAAACCTGCATATTTTCGAAACAATAACAAAAAAAAATTTTTCGAAGATATGTGAAGTCCGCCAATCCGCAGTGGGGCCGCGTGGTGGACTATGCCCTGATACCCTCTGTATAGAGGAGGCCTTTGCCCAGCAGTGGGACATTTATAGGCTGTTACTTTACTTTACTTCACGGCAACAAAAATACATCATCTGTGAAAATTTTAACTGTCTGACCCCTCTGTCATATCAAGTTGCATGAGATACAGTCTGGTGATAGACGCATTGACAAACAGACATACAGACAGCGAAATTTTAGTAATAGGGTCTCGTTTTTCCTTTGGGTACGGCACGGTAACCCTAAAAAGCCTAGCTCAAAAATAATCACAAGCATGAGATCATGGTGTTTTTCATGAGATTATGGTTTTTATATACACCAGTTGTTTTCAATCATCAATAACAATAGAAATCTAAAGCTCAAATGAAAAATATATGATGAGAAATTCTATAAGAAAATCTGCCATTGATTGTGATGAATATATAAAAGTTCGTACCTTATCTCTTAGTATCCATTGTGCTTGAATCCTCCAGTGTTCTTTATTATGCTCGTCAAAGTTTGTTTTAGGCTTCGTTTCTGTAACAGGCATTGAAGAACTAATGATTTTTGTGTTTCTTTTGCAAAATAAAAATGTGCGCATTTGAAAATTCCTTCCACAATAAAAATAAGTGTACCATTACTAAAGGAAGTTTTAATTCGACGTCTGTAATACTAATGCTAGACTGTTTCTTATTGTTAAAGTACTAGAAACAATTGTAAATTCAAATATTAGATTTTGTCATGCGCAATGTCAATGACAAACCTACAACTTGAAGCTCTCAAGTCTGACATCCTGAAGGTTTTCTGTGTATTCAAGTTCATAAGCCTGAGTGGCGTTGGCAGTTGCTAAATCGGCTTCGACCCAGGGGTCATAGGTTCAATCCCCACACGGGACAAGTAGTACTTACGTGACGCTTAAATAATTGTTCCTAATATGTATTTTTGTTCACAAGGACTTGACGTCACGACAACGACGGTGACTGGTCCTAAAACTGTATCCAATCTAATCCATTATCAACACGTTGTGCCGAGCGTGCTAGATTGAATAATGACCGAAGAAAGAGGAAGATTTATATATATTTTTTGTTTTTATGTGAAAAGTTGCCAAGCGAGCTGGTCGCACCTCATGTTAAGTGAATACCGCCGCCCATGGACATCTGCTATACCCGAGGATTCCAGATGCGTTGAAAACCTTTTGAAGGGCTCCGGCTACCTCACTCACCAGACGAAACGCGAAAGCCGTGATATACTTCAAATTTAGCTGGTAATTCTGTGATATAAACTTACCCGGACGAGCCTGAGTTCAGCCGAGGCTGCTGCGTGGCCCTATCACAGTAGAGTGATTGAGTTATTAAGATTATTTGGACTACCTACTATAGTTGCCGCCCTTGGCTCGTTCGATGAGGAAACCTGACTTTCGAAACAATAAGAAAAATTCAAGCCTGACGGACATGCGAACTCACTCGCCCTAAAAACCCCTATGCATCAATGAATTTAAAAAAAAATGTTGAGTTTTTATGTTAGCTAATTATACGGAACTGCTATGTGCTAACTTTTAATTAAGCCGTGATAGCTCAGTGCCCAGGTGCTCGCTTTTAATTCAAATATAAACGGGCAAGCTGAGTTCAAAGCCTGGTACCAACGAAATTGTTAATTGTAGTTTTAAATACTGAGTTATCACGTGCATATCGCTGAAGGCAGATATCGTGAGGAAACCTGACTTTCGAAATAATAAGAAAAAGTTGTTCGAAGTCACGTGATGAACTATGCCCTAATACCCTCTGTAAGAAAATGCGTCTATTTTACGCAAGCAATGATATATATATAATGATATAATGATAATATATTCTGTTCTATTACTCTTTTTTTTACCAAACTTCGATCACTTAACCACATCGATTTCCCTCAGCGCATATTATCAAGCAATATGTGAAGCCATCAACAACCGCGTCACGGCTTACAAGCATCTGAAATAGTCATCATCCTCAGAGCCATGCTCTGCCAGTTGGCACAAAAACGAATAATGTGGCTGAACGGATTTTGGCATGGAATCTAAATGGCAAACCCATCGTGTGCTGCTATTGAACGAATGGGCAAGCGCATCCGGGGAAGTAACGCGGCCCCACAGAAGACCGGCGGAAAGTGGAAGTAAATACTTGACTCCTGAGAGAAACAAAGCCACAACCCCCGGAAGTGAAGCTAATGGCTTGGCATATATGTTTGCTAGCTGTTAATCGCGGCTTCGCCCGCGTGTTCAAAGGGAATTAACGATGAGTTTTTTATTATGCGCCGCTACCAGGAAGGGGTAGATAAAACTATCTTAATTTCCACGCCGTCTAAGAATTCACCAGGCCAAAAATTTACTAAAAATTTTTCATTATTAAACACTGATTTCTTAGGTACTAATATAATAACGGTAATAACTGAGGATTATCAACGAAATAAAACTGTCACAAGTTTAGTACACTCTACGATTAAAATCACTATGCGTTTTGCGTGCGATGTAAAGTTAAAATCATAGTGTGACGTTTTAATTTATAAATAAATTACCACCATTAAAAATTCTTACTTACAAGGTGATATAAGCGACAACAACTATTATATTTCGTAACATCGTACGAATTACGTGAAGTTATACGTATAGAGAGTCGGTTTCGCTCAACCTTGGCCTTCTTAGGGTGCCGCGGTGTCAATGACACGTAAATAAGAGCGAGTACACACCGGCGTGGATTTCGTAAACTTAATTATATGTTCCATTTATCTCGATTATAAGACACCTATTAATCATAATTACGAGTTATAGACGTGAATTGACACAAGAAGTATAATTAAATGGGAGGTAACGTTGTATTAAATGTAATCTAGTAATTTACTTTTTACAAGCCGTAATAGTGCTTATTTCGATACAATTTAATGTACTACTTACTTTCTTTACAAGAATCTCTCACAAATTAACCCGATACGATAAGCATATGAGGTTATTTTCATTAAATCTGTGTTACTATACATAAACATACAGCGTGTCGTTACAACCTCGACAATAAATGAACACACGTCTAACGCTACTTGCAAATAATAATAAAAAATATAAACGTTAAAAAAATCCATAGTTAAAAAAATATTTTTCAAACAAACTAATTAAGTAAAAAAGAAACAAAATTTGTAACATCCTATACAACTACAACTGACTAATTCATACACTCAGAGACTTTTTAATTCGTTGCCACAGCGTCGCATTACAAGCCTCTCCTTCTAACAGTAAATCCCAGGAGGAAGATTTTAAGTAAGGAAATTACTGGAGTTGTAAGGACGTTTCACAAACAAATTTCACATGGACAACCACACAGATGTTGGCAACACTAAAGGAAGTCATTCCTTGAGGTTGTTGGCAATACTAAAAGAAGTGTCATTCTGTGTAGTGAGCTGAAGCAGTCTACCTAAGACTAAAGGTGTGAACTGGAACAGGCGCTACCCCGGATTAAGGGAGTGATGAATACGAGACATCGTCTAAGCCTAAAGATAATCTTTAGGGTTATCCGGTACAATCTATTTAAGCTTATTATTTTGCGGGGCAGTTTATGCCTAAAATAGTTTATGTGTGTTACAAACGATTTATGAACAGTTTTATTAGGGTTTTCTAGAATAAACTTTTTCCATTGGACATTTTTAAGACTAAGATAATTGTATAGAATTCAAGCAGTGAAATTTCTGGAAAGTTAAGGAAAGGAATGGCCGAGCAGTAATGTTTAAAAACAAGATGATGTTTTCAGTTAATTCTATCATGTTTGTTCCCGGCGACTGGTTTTGCATTGTGCCTGGGACATGCACAGTGCAGGAGGGCCGTGTTGGCAACACTAAAGGAAGTCATTCCTTGAGGTTGTTGGCAATACTAAAAGAAGTGTCATTCTGTGGGGTATAAATGAAGCTGCAAGAAGCATCATTCTTCTTCTTCTTCTTCTTTGATTAATGGCCTTTCTTAAGAAGCATCATCGTGATCTTCGTCTTTCTCTGGCTGTCAATAAGAAGTATACGCGATAGTGCTGCCCAATCGATATCAGAAATTAAATTGTTAGAGTGGTGTTTCATTAGTGATATTAAAGTGTTTAAATAAGTAATTATACCAGTGTTATTGTTGTGCAAAGTGAAACTACGGTGATTTGGTAAAAGTATTTATATTTCTACCTTCTTAGCTCGATAAAACAAAGTATAGCTAACACAGATGCGAAACATCTATCTGTGGGTCGCCAAAAAAGTTGTCCAGTGTGGGAATCGAACCCACGAAACGAACCCACCCCTTGGCAACAGCGCCACGGAGCCGTCAAAACAAAAGGTGAACCACATGCTCGCTTCCCATCTCTCCAAGTAAACGAAATATGAGTTATTAAAAAATTAAACAAAAAATTTTCGTTAAATCGATCATTCCTCATATTTTACAAAACTTAAATTCTTTTTCATGCTAATTTAAAAATAAAATGTCAAAGTAGTTTGTAGTTGGAAAATATTAACTTGAAACAAAAAAAATTATAATTCATTATGTATGGATGTTTTTTGTTCGTTTTATTCCTATTGGGTTGTAAGTTTGCACAGTTGTTGTAATTAATAAATAATCTGCATCGACATTTTTAACACAACTGTTGATACTTTAAAATAATGCATGTGCAATCATTCTTTAGCAGCATTTCGCATAATGAGAAGTTTCTTATTTATTTTGTTATTTCATTTAAATATTTTATTAATTGTATATAACTGAGTTTAGTACTTTTTTATTTATTATTATTTAATACTTGTCTTCTGAAATTATAATGCTGTAAATACATTTTCCAATTGTGAAAACTTTTAATAATCTAATAACAAATATGACTTCACCCAACATTTTACGAATTATCCCTTTTCATTTTGTTTAATATTCGATAGTTTGTAAAGTGACTGTCAGTAAGTTATAAATACATTCGTTACAATGATATGAATCTCTTTGCCCGAATAACTTAAACGCAAAAACATAAGGATTTGTAAGGGTGCGACCCCACTATAAATAATAGTAAAACCTCCACGGCGGAAATCACGAATAGACATTGCCAATTGCTTTCCTTTAAAATTATTATATAATCCTCGAGTAAAAATTCCTAAAATTAAATAAAAAAAAAACTGTTATATCACAAACAATATTTAAAACCTTAAACCTAACTAAATTACATATTATTTAATAAACCTAGTCCACGTGGCATGGTGACGAAAACACTGATTGCATTTCCTCGGTGAATAGTAATGCTTAACCTTTGAGCGAGAAAAGAACCAGTTCTCTCGTCACCAGCCGCGGCGATAAGCCTAGGGCGTAAATATTTCAAAAATGTCAATGTACGGGGACCCAACGAACGTTATGTAGCTTTATAAAAGCTGCTATTAAGTTGAAAAAAAATTCATATATACACGGAGATTTTTTGAGAAGTGCCCAAATTTACACAGGAGGTTCAGACTCGGTAGGATAATCATTTATTGAAATAAAAAACAAAGCTTTTTTTTCAGAAAAAAAAAAAATG